CACACACACACACACACACACACACACACACACACACACACACACACACACACACACACACGTTTCTGTTCATGAGTCCCCAATAAGATATGTGTAGGTGCTGCTCAGGAGAACAGTTCATCAAACAATCCTCAGAGTAGTTTTCTATAAAAGTTGTCTTGGTTTTTTCTGTACTTCAGCTTGTCGTCTGCAGCTGCTCCAAATGTAGTAATTTTACAAATAAAGTAAACTTCTTGTTTGTTTTTAACTTTTTTTCATGTTTTTAGAAACAGTGTGGTGTCAGTACTCACAAAGGCAGCACATCTGTATAAATATGATTTGTACACTCAATATGTGAGCACAGTTTCACATCCGCTGATGATCATCTTCAACTCTACGTCCCACTTTTCCTGTGAGTTTCTTTATGTGTTTTTGTGCGTAGGTGTTCTGCATGAGTCCTGACTTACCTCCTCCTCCATAGAGCACCTCTGCRTTCTCAAAGCCCAGTGTGCTGAATGATGGATCCAGGCCTTCGCAATAGTTGGCCACCTCCATATCTAACAGAGATCTACTCTGCGCAATAGGAAACTTCATCCCTGTTTCGATTTTAGCTGCTCTTCTCYTCTTCAGTCTTCTCTCCTTTCACTCCTCAGTCCTTCTTACTCGTCGTTTCTGTCCTATCTCAGTTTCAGCTAATTCTCACAGATATGAGCAGGAAGATCCTTGGCATAACAGGTCTATAATCTCATCTGATTGGGTCGTGAACACAAAGTAGGGTGGAGCTGGAGCCAAGACTTCTTACCTTATTGTACCTTACTTATCTGTTCTTTTCTCTCACACTTATAACAAGGATGAAGAGATAGGGGTAATGGAGTTACATCCCCTTATATTGTCTCTTGCTAGGATAGTGTATTAGGTGGGAAATCCTGCGTGTTCTCTAAGTGATCGTGCACAGAAAATTGTGTTGATGTACAAGAACATTTTTTTTAACATTTATGGTTTCTGTCATTTGTGTGCATTTGTGCTTGTGTGGGGATTCCTAATCTTATCAAAACTAAAGTAATATCCCCATCACCTTAGGAGATAAAGTCTATAAAGATACAAAGTTTAATGGAAAACACGGATAACTCCTACGCACACACATTTTATAACCTTTTGTTTTAAACTTTTTTTTTATTTGACACATTTCTAGTATTATCTGTGCAAATGTTSTAAATAACTTTTAAAAAGAACAGTATCAACTACACTTGGAACCAAAACATTTATAGCTTTTTTTTTTTATCACCAGCCTCTGGAGGTGAGTGACCTTATCAAATATATAAATGACTCTAACTCAGGTTTTACAGATTTTAGTAAAAATTTGATGCAATAAAAGCCTTTACCAACACATACTGCAAGCGCCATGTGATCACGCAAGTGCTGTCATAAAATACCGGAGTCGATTGTGTTTCTGTTAGCAAAATATCTTGTAAATCACAGAGCACACTTGAATGAAACGTTTAAAGAGTGAACCTACTTCAGAATGGCCACAACAGATAATCAACAAATCTAGTTTTTGGAATATTCAGATGAACTTTATTGCATAAAACACTTAATGTGTATGCTCTACATTGTTTGTGAACAAAAACTGGGAGTAAATTTGTTAAATTTTACAGATATTGACCCAAATTTGGTGAGGTAGTAGCAGAGAGTCACCTTTAACCCACTTTGAGAGACCATCTTACAAGATCTTATACAATCATATGAGACTGAACAAAATATTTACAAGGTTGGGACCAAATCAGCTCTAACTCTCTCGTTTTCTTAAATGTGATCTTAATCTCTGGTGTATCTCACACCTCTGATCGCTGTCTTAGACTTCAGAAGTGCAAATCAAAAATAAACTGACCTTCCCCCACCCTCCACCTTCYTCTTTTAGGGCAGAGATGCTACAATCATTCTCTGAAAGGGCGCAAACTAGTTAAATATTCTCACCCACTCATTCCACAGAAGGTTTCATTGCACTAAATCTTACTGAGTGTTTTAGAGGCAATCAGTTTGGGCATTGTTACACAGGCTGTAAATGATAAGAGACAGTATTACATGATTTGATGCTTGGGATTTGTAACAAGAAGGCCAATGAGAAATAAAGTGAAGGAGTATTTGAACAGGCCTAAGAATTATATATTCTAGATTTTGGAATATTCAAAAGAACTTTATTGCAAAAAGCACATGCATATTATTATTA